TGCTCCATTCCGCTAGTCAGCGCTGGTATGAGTTCTCTCACTTCCCGATATACTGAGCCGACCTGTGACAGTCTCATTGTCACAGGTCGGCTAGAACTATGAGGTGAGTGAAAAGCACCCCCCCCCTCATAGTTCTCCTTTAAGTTTAACTCAAACATGCCAACAATGCTCAGCTGGCACACACGGGTTACCAGAACCATCTCCTGACCCAGTACAGTCTCTCCTAATTTTCATACAGCAAAACTAAAATCCCAGTCTGGGGTGGACTAACCCTTTAACAGGCTGGGCGATCAGGTCGGTTGGTCTTCCTCCGAACCAGCTGTGGGGATTTCACATCTCAGGTGAACACAGGGCGTCCCGAGGCTGGGTGTCACCCGGAGCTGAGACCGGGTGACACCCCTGCTGGCAGCCATCTTGGTGATGGACCCCGGCAGAGAGAGGAGGGGACGTTTACCCGGCAAGATGAGGTATGCCGCCGAGTCCCCTCCGCTCTCCTGACTGTCGGGCTCTCGGTTCATGACTGCGTGCCCGACTTTTTAGAGGGGGTGACATCAAAATGACTGTCAATAATTTTAGCGTCACCCCTCCAATGGTGTCACCCGGGTGCGGGCCGCACCCCCCTTGTGGCGCCACTGGGTGAACATTTTCCCGTGTCTTCATGCACCTTCTTATCTACGTACCCGTCTCCACCCATGACGGCACTTTGCCATCCGCGGTCCTCTTTCTGGTGTACCCTCGGGGTTTCCACGGGTGTTCCTTGCAGGACGGGTCTAACCTGCGCAATTTCCACAGATGGCTCTGATACTCCTTCTTCAGGGCCTCAATCTTTCCCTCGAATTCTTCAATCTTCCTTTCTGAATAGTGACTCAGCTGAGATTGCTGGGAACAGAAGGGAGAGTTAAAAGAAGAAGAAGACCTAAGTAATAACAATGAGAGCACATGTCATAATCATGGTAACTCTCCACAATGCCATCACAGGTGAAAAGGAGGCCTACTTATTTCAAATATGGCAGCCTGTGCAGGGACTGGTCACATGACTGATGCCGCTGGTCACCTGGTCTCTGCAGAGGAAGTGATATATGTGTTTTATAACCTAATTCACAGGATAGAAACAAACAGAAATCTGGAATACAATTGTCTAGAATCCTTACAATGGAGACGGATCTGAAAGGGAATTTGATTATCGTTATGGGGGCCCCTGAATGCACCACTCTGCTCCTGCCTGGGACTTCCTCACAATCATCCCTGTAATTGCACTTCTCTCCCCAACATGGCCCCGGAGCCCACATTTTTTTTTTTTTTTTTTAATAGCCCGTGGTGCATGCTTCGTAAAACTACTTCCCCTGTCAACAAAAAATGTGACTCGTGAAATCCCAACACAAAAAAAAAAGTGCACGAGGTTGCTTTGGTCCCGAAGAGGAAGGGCCTTGAGATTCCTGAACCCCCCCGGGGCGCAAGGCTCCTGACAGGAGCCAGGACGACTCAGGTCCACCTACCCGAAGGTCGGCGGAACCCTCTCCTCAGGGACCACCTGGGGCTGGTCCCACGAGTACTAGGTAAGGGGCTTCCTCGAAGGGAGACCCCCCCAAGTGGGGGGAAGGCAGAGAAGCCCATGTGAAGGCCGCTAACATCAGGACGGGCCCCGAAGGTACCCGCACCCTCTGTCAATCTGTGCATAAATAAAAAGGTGCCAGTGCACAGACCTGGCAGGTCATCCGGCCAAGGTAAATAATTGCCCCGGGTTAGCCAGAAGGCCTGCCAAGAGGCGTGGTGCAGAAAATGCTTTAGGTGCCGTGCACTAGTGACGGTGAATCAAGTGGAGTCCCAAACCCGGCACCCCTGTGACACCACCCCCCAGGGGGCACAGCACCTCGGGCCTCTGCGCCTCCCGAACCCTCCGTCCAGACCAAAGCAGACACCCGTCCCCATCGGGAGGCATTAGTGCCGAAGAAGCTTTTGGTTTGGGATGGAGTGGAAAGGGATTAGAACATTGGTTTTTACTGCTGTCTGTGTCCCTGATGGGGAGATTTATCCTGGTGACTATTATCCCTGAAAGTGAAAGAAAATCCAACATTTTGGGTTGTCACCAGAACAAGCGGAGATGGGAAATCTTCCAATGGCAACACAAGTTCTGGTGACCACCAAGCGCTTCCTTCATTTTGGAGGGATTTCCTCTCACATCCTCATGTGGCTAATGGACAGGAAATGAATGGAAATCTCCCCAATGGGTAAAAAATAAAGCTGATGGAGGTTATAACTCTCCATTATTGTATCTGAAACTAAAAAAAACTAAAGTTTGGGCTTCAGCTCTACTTTAATACACGCCCAATCATGTGATAACTCTCCATACTCCCCCCTAGTATAGGGATTAGCATCCTAAAGAACAGGCGCCACGGAAAATCATTTTTCGCGGCACCCAGACGATCAGTAGTCAGATGTCTACAAAATGGATTGATATTTCTCATTAAAACATAACTGTAGCAAAGTTTGTTAAAGATTATGCCGTCTGTAGTGTAGCAACCTTACCAGAGTCCTCTGTGTCCCAATTGGGGGAGACTTCACCTCACTTCCTGTCTGATAGCCACAACAGGAAGTGATAGGAAATACCTGGTGGTCACCAGAACTAGTGTCCCCATGGGAAGATTTCCCATCTATTCCTGTTCTGGTGACCACCCAGATTTTGGGATTTATTTCAGTGATGTCAGCAGGACAAATTGAGAGGATTTAATGTAACCACTGGGAAAAAAAACAAAAACTGGTGCCGAATTTTGTAGAGCATTGCTCAGCGCCGTCTCAGTCTCACCTCCAAATAATAATCAATCTCATGTTTGATGCTGGGGATCCATTTCTTTACACCTGCGGCCGTGTGCAGCGCCCCCTGCAGGAAACACGGAGGGGAGACTAGTAAAAGGGGCCGCGGCAAAGGCAAGATTTAGGAACATAAAAGCACAGACTCACCAGTTTTGGGCGGTGACCACAAATGTCCTTCAAACGACCCTCTGAAAGAGAAAACAAAGATGAGTCCACCTAAAACCGATGCAGGTGCGGGTGGAGTGTGGTGACCCGTCAGAGGGATTCCTTTATCTCTTGGGAATTCCAGCACAGAGATCTCGCCATTGCAGTTTCCAGTTCCGGTCCCCGTAGAGTCTCACACCCGGTGCTGCATTCTATGACATGTATAATACTGTCTGCCCCTCCCCTGTAGTGTTCCTCTTCTCATCATAACCTTCTACATTATCATCAGCCTCTCATCATACCCCCCTGTACTGCCCCCTCCTCTCATTGTACCATCCCGCACTGCACCTTCTCTCCTTATACCCCCCTGTACTGCCCCCTTCTCTCACCATTCCCCCCCTAGATTGCCCCCTCCTCCCATCATACC